ATATGATAATGTAGCTAATTAGGTCTTGACTTAGGTAACCAGTTAGTGGAGCGGGAGCGAAAGCGGGAGCGGCAGCGAGAGCGTAAAAGCGTCTATCGTATAAGAATTCAAAACTAAAAGCGTGAAGGGAGCGTCATTATTATATTATTTTTAAATATTTATAATGCATTATTTTTAAATAATTTAGAGTGTAATTAGTATTAAAATAGTAGACACTAAGATTAATTTGTTAGCTTTAGTTCACCAATAACATGACGATAAACTTTAGGAATAGAATAAATAAATACTTTACCAAAAATATTAAATAAATAATGGTAAAGCACTATCGGGTCAATTAATTCACCACTACGTAGGGATGGCAACAAAACCCGAACCCACGGGTACCCACCCGATCCAACCCGGTCAACGCGGGTAAAATCCGTGTTGACGGGTTTTGGGCCGGGTTCGGGTTTAAACCCGCTACACTATTCATCGGGTCGGGTTTGGGTTTAGGTAAACCCGCCCCATGGGTACCCGCTCACACATATAATTACTTTCCCGGTATATTTAATATTCCAAATAATGTATCTTCCTTAAACAACTAATATTCTATATGTTTGTGGAGACATGTATAATTTGTTCTTTCTGATTGTTTAGAATGGAGTTGATATTATGAAGTGGAGAGTGAAGAAACTTAGTTGACGAGGAAGAAGCTTTCAATTAATCTTATTGTTTATATATGTTTATCTTTAATTTTGAATAATTTGTATTGATCATTTGCGCTTTGCTTGTATGCTCTAGATTGGTGTTTTTTGTATGATTAATTTGTATGAGAAAATTGATGTTAAACTTTTATTTTGAAAGAAACTTGTTATTGTAAATTTTTATCACAAAAACCCACGGGTACCCATGAACCCGCGGATACCCAGCGGATTGGGTTGGGTTTGAGTTTTTCAAACCCAACGGGTTTTACCCTAGGTTTTTTTTTGCGGATAAACCCATGGGTTTGGCTTTGGATTTGACAAAACCCGACCCAACCCGACCCATTGCCATCCCTACCACTACGTAGGGATGGCAATTTCGACCTGACCCGATTTACTCGACCTGTTTGACCTGTTTTGGGGCAGGTCAAACCCGCCCCGTAGGCGGGGCGGGGCGGGCATGGGTACCTCTCATCGACCCGACCTGCCCTGACCCGCCCCATTCTCGACCCGTTCTTGCCTAAATTACATATAATCTTAGTCAAATTACTTAAGATTTTCCTCTTATTACATTATATTTTAGCTATAATAAAGTTGTAAATAAGTGAAAATCTCAATTTCTTCAATAATTTAACTACATTTTATCATATTATGGTTTCTTTCTTTGTCTTTCAATGAAAAGAACGAATATTTCTAATGTTTTTCACATAAATTACATATCCAATGGGTCGACCTGCCCCAACCCGCGCCCCGTGATAAATTACCCGACCTGGACCCGACCTGCCATGGGACAGGTATGGGTATCGAGATACCCGCCCCGGAACTGCCCCATTGCCATTCCTACCACTACGTTCCATTCTCTCCCAAATATAATTTCTATCCCCTGTATAATCTCTTGAGAAATTACTCCATCCCAATTCTCATCCAACCATTCACCTACCTGCTCCCTCCCTCCCCCTCTCTCTCTCTCTCACAGCCTATTTGGATACAATTCCGGAAGAAATGGAAATGGAAATGGAATTCAATTTTTTATTTTTATAGAATTCCATTTCCAATTCTAGTGTTTGGTATAATTCCTACAACTATGGAAATGAATTGCACTTTTAACCATAATGAATAATGTAATATGTTTGTTTTATTTTGGGAAATGAAATATGAATGAGAGAGAAAAAGAGTAAAATTATAGTGGGCCAACAAAATAATAAAAAGTATTGATGGGTCCCACTAATTCCATCTTCATTCTCTCAATTCGGGTTAATTGCATGGTTGGTCACTGAGATTACAAAAAGCGTTCATGTTTGGTCACTATAAATATTTAAATCTATTTTTGGTCACTAACTTTACAAAAACCGTTCATTTATGGTCACTCTCCGTTAGCTGACGTTAACGACGTCCGTTAAGTGATGACGTGGCTAACGGATTTGCCTAATCAGCACTTTTTAACCCCAAAATTGACTGAAATGACCCGCCACGTCATTTAAACCCGCCATGTCAGCTAAACCTAACCAAACCTCTACCCAAACCCGACCAGACCCGCTAACTAAACCAAACCAGACCCCCAAAATTGTTTGACTAAAACCCTAATCGCTCCATCCCGCGCAGCCTTCATCCCTTCCGTTTTTCTTCCTGGAGATTTTCAAGCTGCTCGGGAGATCGTAAAACGCCGTCGCATTGCCCGGCTCGGCGGTCCGGCACCTGTGCTTCATCATCCTGTTGTGGAAGACGATCTCCGACACGAATTGATCGGTCCAGAACCACGCCGGCGCCAAATCCTCCGGCACGATGCCGTAAACTCCCGCCGCCGCCTGCTGCCCGAACCCGTAATTGGCCAGCGAGTCGCACCGCGAGCTCCACGGGTTCAATTTCTCGCAATTCTCGATCAAGTCGGTGCTCAAGCTGCTCGGGAGATCGTAAACGTAGATGTACCCGTGCTCGCAGCGATGCGAGTAAGTCTCCTCGTCGACCGCCACGGCGGCGGCAGAGTCGGACCTTACTGCGACGGCGGACGCAATGATGACTGGCTCAGAGACAGCGGCGGCGGGACTGGGAGAAGACGGTAGGCGGCGGTGGAAGCCGTGGAAGTGGAAGGGGACGGAGCGGAGAGTGAGGAGGAGGATCCCAACTACCCTTCTTATGGACGCAGAGGAACAGTAACCCTAGAGTCCAATTCCCTAATTAGACTCTGTCGATGCTTCCACTCACCAATTCTCCGCCGCCGGAGTCCACCAAGATTAAAAAGCCCAAACTGGATGAGACAGTCGTGTTCACGGCTGGATCCGTAGGTAGAGACGCAAGAGGTCAATGCGGATGCTGCGAGATTGAGATTTGAGACAGTCGGAACATCGCGTGGCGTCGGTCGTAAAGCAAGCGGCGTTTTACGATCTCCCGAGCAGCTTGAAAATCTCCACGAAGAAAAACGGAAGGGATGAAGGCTGGCGGGATGGAGGCAGTCTTCGATTAGGGTTTTAGTCAAACAATTTTGGGGGTCTGGTTTGGTTTGGTTTAGTTAGCGGGTCTGTTCGGGTTTGGGTAGAGGTTTGGTTAGGTTTAGCTGACATGGCGGGTTTAAATGACGTGGCGGGTCGGGTCAGTCAATTTTGGGGTTAAAAAGTGCTGATTAGGCAAATCCGTCAGCCACGTCATCACTTAACAGACGCTGTTAACGGCAACTAACGGAGAGTGACCATAAATGAACGGTTTTTGTAAAGTTAGTGACCAAAAATAGATTTAAATATTTATGGTGACCAAACATGAACGCTTTTTGTAATCTCAGTGACCAACCATGCAATTAACCCCTCTCAATTCCTATCACTTTTGATAGGAATTGTAATTCCCATACTTTAGACCCATTGGAATTCAATTCTCAACCTTTTTATTATTCCAAACATAATATATACTTTTTTGTCATTCCAACCTCATCAATTCTCAATTGACTCGCAATTCACAACCATCAAGTCCTCCCCCGCCCCTATCCCGGCCGACGACCAAGTGCTCGGCCTTTTCGGACAGATTCGCTGCCGGCAGTTATTTAGAGATTTTGCACTGTCTGCGATCTTCTACTTCTCCGTCGTCTCTCTCCCATCCCATCTATGTCAGAGAGTTATGGGCTTCTCCGCACGCAGTGCCCTTCCCAGGTCTCGTCTACAAAATCCATAAGTTAGAGAAGTAATAGTTGCCGCTGGGGAAAGAAACTTCAGAGCTGCAAGCGTGGCCCTTAAAATCGTCGAGCTCCAACAACGGCGATGGGTGTGAGAGCAGATCAGAGAATACAAATCTCCAGAGAATTCTAGATCTGACAGTGCGCGCTCCCAAAACAAGAAATCGCGCTCTGTCGGAATATAATTCGCGGATTTCTCTCGAATTTCACAGAAATCGCGTTTTGGCGTTTAGGAGCGGGATCGTGGAGCCACGACAGACGAATTGGGTGACATAAGTCTTGACCTTCCCCATCATCTTAGGACTAATATGTGCGTTTGCCATTCGAAATTCTAGAATTTGAAAAACAGTAATACCCATTTCCAATCAAAGGAGAATAAGATTCAAAGATATTGTTGGATATTATCAAAATAATCATACGAACGACTAAACCCCACCCCAAAAAATTGTCATGTAACAGGTGGAAGGTTCGCGAGGACTTTAACCACTTTTGAGAAGAATCAGAGTGGATTTGGTATTGCGTTTTGCAGGCACTTCAAATGTTCATTCAGATGTTTGACTGAAGTAATAGGCAGGCAGGCAGGTAAGCAGAGAGTTATTGGAGTAGTTCTCTCTTACAATTTCAAAATATCTCTCCTGCATTTTTCTCCTTTTCAGTACCCCACACTCCTCCCTGAAAACTCCAAACCCTGCAGTCTGCTTCGCATATATAGACAAATGCTACTACTAACTCAGCTCCATAATTCTCCTCCACAACCAGCTGAGAGAGAATATATGTGATGGAGAAGCTGAGAATCCTACCACAGATGAAACCGGTCCCTGATTCCAGAAAACTGTGAGCCTCTGTTTTTGTTTCTTATCCCTTTGGCTAAAGATGCTTCTTTTCCTCTATCTTTTTCTCCAAGCTGGAATTTTTACACCATTGCTCTCTCTTTTCCTCTCTCCCTCCCCTTTCTCTTTCTAGGGTTCGGCCTCTAAACCAGAACAAAGCGCATACTCGCCCGTGAAAAGAGAGACAGTGAGTCTACCAGGAAAGGGGAAAAAGCAAAGGCTTAATTGGATAAAAGCTAAAGTGCCAATCTCTTCTCGTTGCCCCTTTTTTCGGGTAGATTTACCAGAATCCCATAAAAATCTCCCACGGCCGTTACTCTACACACCTCCAAAATGACACGATTCCTCGCCCTCCACCGCCGGCTCTCGGATTCGGACTTCAGCTCCCCCCTGCCGCCGCCGAATAATGGGACCGGGGGCGACCCGTACATCAGCCAGACGAATTTCGACGCCAACATGGTGATAATTCTGGCGGCGCTGCTCTGCGCGCTCATCGGGGCTCTGGGTTTGAACTCGATCGTCCGCTGCGCGTTTCGATGCATCCGGAGCCTGGTGCAGGAGTCGCCGGGGCTGGCGGCGACGGGTCTCAAGAAGCGGGATCTGAGGCAGATCCCGGTCGCCGTTTACGGCTCGGATGACGCGGCAATTGCGGTCACGGAGTGCTCGATCTGTTTGGGAGAATTCATGGATGGGGAGAAAGTTCGGGTTCTGCCCAAGTGCAATCACGGGTTCCATGTGTCGTGCATCGACAAATGGCTGCTCTCCCGCTCCTCCTGCCCCAACTGTCGGCATTCTCTCAGGGAGCCGCCGAAAGCGGGTTCGGATCCTAGGCCCGCGGAAAGTGACCCGCAAGGTAACGTTGCTGTAGTTGTCGAGGAAGGGGACAGAAGATGAGGTTGATTGCCTGTCCAGGCCTGGAAGGGTTATTCATCCGCCAGCTGTTTGATTAAAAGCCTCAATGAGTGGACGGGAAAACTTGCTTTTCATTTCAGAGCGTTTCTCGCTAGTTGCTGGCCTAATTGTAAAAGCTGCTGAATTTTGATAGATGTGTAAGTGTAACATATAATTGTAATAAGCGTTTCTAGTTTAGATTTGCTTCCCAAATGGGGTTTTTTTTCTGTCTCAGATTTCAGCCATGGCTACTAAATTGAGTTCTGCATTAGTAGGTGGCTTGCTAATTGCTTGCTGGTTAAAGAACTCAATTTTGTCTTCACTTGTATGTTCCAGGGAGCTGCAAACGTGTGAGTTGGGAAGCATTGTAGTGGCGGAAGCAAACTAGTACCAGTAACTAATCTCCTCCATCATTCGGTCGATTCTGATTTTACTGGATCTATAGTTGCCTGGCTATTTGGGGATTGAATGGGAGTTGCCACCTAATTGAACAGCGACGTATGAATTAATTGGCTGAAGTGGGGTGGATAGGTGTCCTTTTAGCGCCATAAGACTGGATTCGTCTTCGGCTTAATTGCAGTGCAAGAAAGAAGGCAATGAAGGATTTGTATGCTTTTAAGGGTTGTGGCCCAAAACCACCGCGGTTGCTGGCTGGGACCTCCTTCCTTATCCGGGCGAGGGATGGGCGGTGATCGTTTGAGACACGGAAAGCTCTAACCTTCCCGTCAATTTAACGTTCAAAAAACCAACTACCCACTTCTTTTAATGAAACTTCACATTCAAAACACTACTCAAATGAGTCAGGGTGCGAGTTAGTCGGCATAAATATATCAATTTCAAAATTTTATAATTTTGACATTTTATATATTCAATATTGATTGTTTGATTTTGTTTTGATAACATATAATTTGAATTTAATAATTATGTTTATGGGTTACTATCTGTTTGAACAATGAAGTCAAAATTATTATTCTATTTAGAAGCATTTTGGTGATTTAGCAGCGAAAAAATATAAATTTCAAAGCGTATTTTTTTTTTGTAAATAGATGCAAGCACATCACTAGCTTTCATTCAACACCAAACGAAGTTCAGAGAGCCCCTGAAAGTCATTCAAAAGAAGATTATACAGCAAATGGACTGAGAGGTGGTGTTATGCACCCCCCGGCAGCTAGGGCTGGCTATTTGGTCCGGTTTTTTTGGTTTTACCCGAAACCGGACCGTATAATCCGGACCGAGACCGGACTGGGACCGGATAGTTAACAATCCAATCCAATCTTTGGGCTTAGATTTGAGGTAAAAAAACCGTTCGGGACCGGATCGAAAACTGGATAAAGACCGGATAAGAGAGCTCAACACGCACGCGACGATAGCCAAGGTTCCACGCCATCAGAAGACCTTCTACGGCTCCTCTCAACTCAACTTGGGTGATGGAGCAATACCCCAGGCTACAAGCGAACGCCGCTAGGCAGCGTCCTATGTGATCTCTAATCAGGCCATCAGCAGCAGCATGACCTGTGTTATGAAGTACATAACCGTCTGAGTTGAGAGTAACCCACTCGGGAGGCGGCGGGTTCCATGAGATCTCGACCTCTGTTCTTGTGGGCAGGACAGGCATATGGACTAGCCTATCCTTCTCCAGAGTTATCCGCACGACATTAATCCAAGCTCGAATCCGCCGTAGAAAGGTCTCAGTGGTAGTCTTATTTTGTTGTCGAAGGCCATCTCGTTCTTCGTCTTGCAAAGCGACCAATAAATGAGGTCGAAGCTCAGGTTATAATCAGGGTGGTGGAGATACGTCAGTATCCATTCCTGCAGGGCAGTCTGAAAAAGTTTTGGTGGCCAAAGTGACCCTCCCCGTGAACGATAGTGACTCTGCTCTCCAGCCTGCTAACTTCTTATCCAACCTGTTCAAGATGTAATTTATAAGTCTCTCGAGTGACTCGACCATGTAGAACCGGGACTCTCAAGTACCGCCCCAAGTCCTGTGTCGCCGGAATTTCTAGAGTGCGGATGATCTCCCCACTAATGGATCGGTCTGTCTTCCTAGAAAAGTACACCACAAAATTTTCTTTGCTCACCATTTCTCCTGACGCCAGGCAAATTCAAACAGTCTAGGATGACTCTTCCTTGCTGTACTATCGCTTCTGCAAATAAAATGAGATCATCAGCAAAAAAGAGGTGCGATAGGGGAGGACCTCGTGGTGATGTCTTTATAGACTTCCACCGACTGTCCCCGACAGCCTCTTCAATGACATGGCTAAGTCATTCCATGCACAGTGTAAATAGATATGGGGAGAGGGGGCATCCTTGTCGCAAGCCGCGGGAACGGGATAGTGGTTCCGTCTGCACCCCGTTCCATAAAACCTGTATAGACGCCGTCGTTACGCGGTGCATGATCACATCAATGAAGTCCTCAAGAAAGCCATCCTTCTCAAGTGCTTCACAAAGGAAACCCCAACTCAGACGATCATAAGCTTTCCCTAAATCCACCTTGCTTGTTTAACAGCCTATGTTTCAGTGATGGTGATGGTGGGATTCACTTCCTTCTCACCAGCTGCTTCCACTTCCAGGGTTACCGAAGTTTCCATAGGAGAGAGGTGCTCAACACCTGTATGGTTATGAGCCTCCGTCTCCATCGCAACTTCTGTTTCACTCGTGGCTACTCTATCTGCAGCAAGAGATATCTCCTCCTCCTCCACTTCCTTTTCTAACGCCTGAAAGTGTGATCCACTCCCGCTTGCAATCGTTTGCCTACCATTTGGCATATCAGATTGTTTTTTTTTTTTCATTTTTCTGCCTCGATTTGGCCATCATCCACTCGCCATATGTGGGCGCTGGGGTAGATTCTGATGGGGGGGGGGGGATCGGGGTGGGTATGTTGGCTCTGATGTCTCCTATCAGGCAAGTGAGGGACAAACAACTTTGCAATGCCCGTAACGTCCACATTCCATGCAGATGTTGAATAATCCCTCAAACTCGATATAGTAAGTGATACCTTCAATCTTATATTGTGAGAGCAGAGGTTTGATTAGATCAACCACCACACAAACTCAGGCATACTGCCCGCGATCTCCATTCTATGTCGCCCGATCAACTTTAATATGCTTGCCGATATATGACGCAATAAGTTCCACGGCCTCTTTGTTGATGAATTCCCAGGGAACCCCAGGTAACTTCACCCATACCATTGTCGAGACTACTACTGCAAGCTTAGGATTGAAGTTCTTATGCCATGGCCTGATAGTTTGGTAATAATACCCTACTCGCCAAGGCCCTCCTGAGGCCGCTTGCTCGTAGTCAAACTGACTCGTGAACCTGATAGCATAAAAGCCATAGGTTAAGTTAGAGATTTACAGCGTGCCGCATTTGCCCCAAATGCTCTGGAGGCGGCGCGCGATGACTGGGAAGGGGAAGGTATGCCCCAACACTTTAACTATGAGAGCTGAACGTCATTCCAGTCTCCACCGTTGCTTTTCCATTGCCTTGAAAGGTATAGTAGAGCAGCGAGGATTATCATCCTCCGGGACCTCGTCATCAAGGTCATCTTCGCGCAGGGCAGCGACGATATCCTCTGAGTCGGATTCTACTACATACCACTCGTCTTGACTCTGTAGACCATTGAAAAGATTCTTGGTACCTTTCGACCACGCTGATTCCTTTTGCTGGTCGGAGTCCACGTTCACCTGGGGAGGGGTGAGATAGGGTCTTCGTATTTTCGGTGCCGCTTCAAAAATAGGGTTATTCATCATTGGCTTAGCACGCTTTTTGGGTTGTTGTGTCTCGCTAGCTTCTTTTCCATTAGGTGAGGACGATGCAGAGGCAGGCCTACGAGTCCCGTCATTCTGATCACTAAGCCCGACGGCCCGGGGCGGCACCCCCAGCGCAGGAGATTCCATTGCTAGAGGCGGCGCAAGGGTTTGTTCGATACTGTGGGATCGCCACTCCGCAGAATACGGAGCTCCTAGGGTTTCACTATTTAAAGTGTAAATTTTAAACTTTTAAGTGAAAATCGCGGTTCTATGTGAAAGTGTTCTGGTGATCTAGAAATGTAAAACAATAACTTTAAAATATTAAAATACGATTTTGACTACATTATGCATAAAGAGAACGTGCAAATGATGAAGGCCGAACGAAGAGAGATAAGAAAGGTAGTTAGAGAAGGCGACTTTGAGTGGATCCCATCTTCTCACATTCGAGGTGCAAAATAAGTGGCAATTTCACTACTGCTATAATATGGAGGGAACCCAATTGATGATTAAGGTGGACTTGAAATCAATAAAATGAGTCTATAAACAAGTCGTTGAGTTTGGAGTTTGCCCTTTCTCACGCCCAAATTGGAGCATCACAATTCACAAAACCATCCATCCATCCATCCATCCATCGATCGGTCCTTGTCCTCAAGTCTGAGTGAGAGAATGAAGGGGAGTTGCAATTTTTTTTAAAAAAATGGCGTAGCAAGTGGAGGTGAGGTGAGCGGGTAATTCTCGTTCAAATGGCCCAAAAGCGATCTGCTTTGTCAATTGGAAACTGGAATCAAGGAATGGAAAGGAGCGGGCTTTACAGGAATAATTTATTAAGCAGCGCCGTGCCGGGGACTCGGCGGTGAGATGGGCCTGACTCAGTGAGTCAGTGGGTCTCAGTCTCACTCCCTCCCTCCCATGACAATCCCGTTACTCTCCCAAACTCCCCAAAGAATAACTCCCAAATGGCCAAAGTCTAGTCTACACTTCCGTTATCTCATCTCATCTCCGTCCGTCTCGTCTCCTGCACCCTTCAAACCTATCTGCGGTGCGGTGAACTCTCGAACTTCCCCCGGATGAGGAAATCATGGGAAATCAACATTCACGCCAAGGGCAGCGGCGGCTATCGATTCGGATTCAAAGCCAGATTAGCAGAAACCAGGGGCAGCAAGCTCCGTACTCGATTCCCACTCCTTTCCAGGCTCTACGATTCCTTCGTCGAACCAACAACTACCGCAAAAGACCCCAAATCCCTCCACAGATTCAAGCCCTCTTCCCCTTCAACTTCGAGATCCAAGCACCACCGCTCCAAGAAGCACAAGAACCCTGAACCCGAGCAGATCCCGATTTCTCCACCCAAGATCGACAGCACTGCCAGTCCCTACAAGGTGAGCCGCTTCATTCCGAGATCCAGATCTCTGCCGAACCCGGAAAATGGTACCACGCTATTTGATGGGGCGAAGCCGAAACAGGACAACGACAACGGCCTGGGCTCGTCGATTGTGAGATCCGTGAAATCCCTGTCCCGGTCGATCGAAGAGAGAAGTTGGAGCGGGATCTTGATCCACGGGTGGTGCGTCGCGCTGTTCGCCTGGCTGCTGTTGATGGAACGGTTTGGGATTCTCAAGTGGAGAAATTTAGCGGCCGTTTTAGTCGTGGCGGTTGTAGCTTGGGGAGTCGCATCTCGGAATGTGGTGGGCTCTGCCGACGAAGATGGCGGCGGCCAAGGAAGGGTTCAGGAAGCTTGGAAATTTACTGCATCTTCTGGGAGTTTAGACCAGCTTTCCATGGTACTAACAGGATTTGCTATGAACTGAACTGATTGAGGAAGAGTCTTTCACTCTTTTGGGTAGTTGACAACAATATGTTTTGTTTTCAGGTTGTCTTCTCTAGGATTCGGCAGGCCGTTGGGCTTTGATTCTGCAAGGAAGGACGATTGCAGGTTACTCACTGGAGTTGAGTTTGGTATTCTTCATTCACAATAGATACCAGAATTATATTATGTCTGTCGATATTAAGAATTACTATAAATTCTTGTCCTCCATCCCATTTCTTCTGCAACCTTGAAACTACAGATGATGAGTCCAGCTTCCATTCCAGTAGAATGTGAATTATTTATTTATACGGTTAAACATATGTTGAAACGGTAAGCTGCTAAAAATCCACGCTCTCCCTCCTCCTACACTGCACACTTCATTTCTCTCAGTCTGATCATTAATTGCATTTGTTTGTTTTGTTGGAGAGGGACTGACCGTTGAAGAAAATTGTTAAAGTAGCCTTGGTTTGGTTGCGTGGAAATGCTGGGCTTTTCACTTGTGATCCATTTGTTTATTTCTTTGGGTATTATCTAGTCGGGCCATAAGTGAGGAAAGTAGATGATGAGCATGGTAGCAAGCCCAATATGCTGACTTTCCGATTTTAGTCCACAACTTGGAGTTGGGCTGACAATTGTACCGTTTTTTGTGTGTGTCTCGTATGTTAGCGAAGTTCGACTTTCTGCTCCATATGATGATCTAGAGGGTCGAATACGTTCCATGGGGTGGTTACATGAGATTTGTTGTATATAGTAATCTGCCTTTGCGTCTGAGCTTGGTTGGTTTCCTTGTGATCTAATCTAATAGCAAAACAAACACTCAGATTCCAGCCGCACATGGCACTGAGAACCTGCCTGACATATTTGTGTCAGTCGTCACTTTGGGAGGGACTCTCCGGATATAACTACGGCTCCACCCGCAGTGGTAGTAAGTGAAATCCAATTTGGTCTGTACGGCGGACGGCGGTGGGGATGAACTATATATTATTTATATTTTGTTAATTTTTAATTTAAGAACTGGTATATCTATTCTGACCAGTTGACGCCTCCGCGGCCGAGCCCATCGCCATCTATCCCGAAATCATTTTAAAACGCTTGAGTGGGAGGAAGAAGAGAAGACAAATCACTAATTAATTTGTAACTTATGGAATTAAGGGTCAGGAGGAGGAGTAGAAAGAAAGTAAGAAGACAAGAGAAGCTGCGTCGTCGGGTGGCAGGAAAGGAGGAGGAAGAGAAGAGATGAGATGAGATAGCGGGGGCCCCGCCGGCGGAAGGCGCCGCGCGGCCGTCAATGATGATGTTCAACACCGAAGAAGAAAGAAAGAAAGAAAGACGACGGTGGTGGATGTTATGATATCAAAATTGAAAACTCGTCATGTTCATGAATGAGCGGAACAAGCCACCATTGATTTGTTGTAGTAGTAATTGTACTGCGCCTGCCTGCCTGGTAAAGTATGACGGCAAAATTTTGGAAGAAGAACCCAAAATGGCTTCAACGTTGAAGAGTGGGACCCGCCTCCTTCTCGGAAAGGAAAGAACCCACCTCAGCCGTCTGATCCCCATCCTTAGATCTGACGGGACGCGATACCATCATGGTCAAACTCCAATCTTCATACCTGTCTTTGACCATCTTCTATTTATTTATTTATTTATTTATTTATTAAATTGGAGGAGAATTTGTTAAATAAAAACCAAAGGCACGGAGAGAGAGAGAGACAGAGAGAGAGAGCAGTCCGCCATGCTTTTTTCCCCCAGTTCACCCACCCAAAAAAAGCGGCAGCAGCTAATAATAATAATAATAAAGTAGAAAAATAAAAATGTCGAAAATCCAACTACAATAATAAATAATAAAAATTGGTATATTTAAGGCGAGAGTTTGACTGAGCTGTCGCTTCAAACGAGGTGCATTTCGTTGAATATGGATGACGACACCAGGCGATGTTTTACCATAATGCCCCTCCTTACATTGGACTCCTACACTAACCCATAGCTAATCACTTGTATTAAAAACAAAACCCGATAGCTAATCACAATCCGGTATCAACATTTCCAGTTAGATAACAATTAATATTTAACCAAAAAAAACGTTATTTACTTTTTATCTTTTTGGTAAATGGGAAAAAGGGAAAATCATTGGGGAGGTATCTGGTAGGTTTGACCAATGACCAGTGCTGGAGTTGATTGCGAAGGCGTTTCTTTCTTCCTTCCCATCCCAAAATTTCGTACCTTTCCATTTTTTTTTATAATAATTATTCCTCTACTAATCTCTCTCTTTCTGCTGCTGCTGCTGTTTACTTTTCCTTTTTCTGTGTTCTCTTCTTCTCCTCTCCTCTTTTTCCTCCAAATTTCTTTCCAACACACTTCCTTCTCTCCATTTATCGCTGTGGATTTGTTTCCTTAACAAAGAATTTTGAATTCAACTTTCCCAGTTGTGGAATTTCCGGTGGGTCTTTGGTTCTTCCCCCTTTAGATACACGCACTGCAAAATCAAGCAATCAAATCCCGCACCCTAACTTCCCTTCTTTCTGATTGTTCATCTGCAACTTGCATGACTCTGTTTCTTCAGGTAATTCCGTTTCTGTGCTGGTTTTTAGTTTTCTTTTGATATCATCTGCTCACTTGATTAGGCTGGGTGGCTTCATCCTGATCTCTCTGCGATTAACTGGACGACCTCAATTTTCTCCATCGGAGTTTATCGAGTTTGTTTGCTACCCATTTTTTTTGGTGGCGAGAGGTGTGCGGGTTTTTTTTTTCTTTCTTTTTTGCTTTGCATTTTTTAACCACTTGACCGCCCTTCTAATTTGTTTTTTTCTGGCTATGGTGATTTGGGTTTTCTGTTGGTTCTTTGGGTCGTGAAAGCTGTAGTTTGAAATAAATGGAACGAAACTGACTCTGATTAAATTGAGGTGGGGTGGCATAGTTTTTCTTATAGGTTAATGGGTTATCTCATCCCCTCCAAGTTCGTTTTATTTGTTACTATTATATATATATTCCATTCTTTCTCGGTTTCGAATTAGATCGGGGTTTTGGATCTGGGAATTCAACTGAGCTGCTGATTTCATTTCTGCTTTCATCCTTTGCTCCATGAATGTTCATCCTGTTGATTTACCACTTTGTACCAATTCTGTCCCCTTTCCCTCTTTCAATTGATGCCCCTTTTTAATTTCAGGTACTGACGAATTAACTCATAAGTTCATGACAAATTCTGCAGTTACCATTTAGTGCTGCAGAAATGTTTTATAATTTGTATTATTATTATTATTATCTGACTCTATGAATTTCTGCAATTTTGATAATGGGCATACTTCGGTTGATTAAGTTTTATGTAAACTCAGTCTAAATAGCTGCTCTCCAAATTCTACATGGAGTTTGATAGGGGTAATATATGTTCTTGTTCTTGTTCTTGTAATTCTCAGTCTAGTATCTGCTGTTATAGGAACTAAAAGTTCAATAGTTGATTGGTTAGGGGTGCCCGGATGATCTTATGATGCTCATCATAATCCTCTTCAGACTTCAGCTAACAGTGCTCCCAACTCATTCATTTCTTTGTGCTTGATTGACTGTGGCGATGACATTTGTTTGTGCTGTGTTTTTACTACAGAACACCAAAAACCCTCTTTCAGCAGCCAGAGACTAGAATGGGGTGCTTCACAGTTTTAAGGAACAAGAAGAAAAGGGCTGAATCTAGAGTTGCCATCAAACCAGTTAATCCCAAAGACCAAACAGCGTCACCAACAACACTGCCAGAGCCCAAACTCCCAATCCGGTCCTTGCAGTCTGCACCTCCCAGCTTTAGGACCCGTGTTAAGCCAGTTCAACCTGACCACAAACCAACCAACAATAGGGCCCGTGCTTTGTCTGCTCCAGAAAGTCTTGATGCAGCAGAACAGGATGCACTTATATCTGCTGAATATGATGAACATGAAGAATCGAAGAGCCGATGTGGAGGCTTAATGACAAGGGAACATCGGTCCCCAAGCCCACAGCCTCTTCCTCTACCTTCGCCTCATTATTCTGGGTCCTTAAAACCCACCAATAGCTTCAAATTAATAAATGGCAGTGGACCTCTCTCATCCTGTGGACCTCTGCCTCTGCCTCCCAGTGGAACTCACAGTGGCTCATTGAAGAGCTTTTCGTTTGATGAAGTTGCATCAGCTTGCTGCAATTTCTCGTCGGATCAATGTGTGTCGGAAGGTCTTTCTTCTATCATATACCGGGCTTCCTTTGGTAGTGATGTATCAAGTTCAAAGAGGTTTGAAGCTACTGTTACTCGTCTTCAGTCCTCCACACAGGTAAGTTAAGAATATGTGCAAGTTTGAATATGTGTATAGAAGAAACAAGCAGCAGCATCTCACTGCTCGATCACATTTCAGGGTGTGAAGGAATTTATAGGTGAGGCAAACACCCTTGCAACCTTGAGGCATCCCAACCTGTGTAAATTGCTTGGTTACCATGCACGCGATGGATCAGAACAGAGAATGTTGGTGTATGAGAGGCTACACCATGGAAGCTTGGACAGGATTTTGTATGGAAGATCTGATGGCCCACCAATTGATTGGAATGCTAGGATGAAAATTGCTCTCTGTGCTGCACAAGCTCTAACTTTCCTTCATGAAGAAGGTCCTTTTCAGGTACTAGTTTATCTGCTAGTAGGATTAATTGTAATGCACAAAAAAGGATAGGAAGCTATGCAATGCTATGTGTATGGTCATGTTATGGTCTAGGATCGTTCGGATTATGGATTATGTGCTACAATCTAGTAAGGCATGGATTATCCTCGGAATTAAGGAAGGGAGAAAGTTGGCACATTAGGAGATATTCATCCAACCCAGTTATTTTTACAATCCACTCATTTCAATGATCAACCATTCCAATGACCTCCTAGTCTTGCTGGGGATATCCAATCACAGTCACGCCTTTCTCTAGTTATGAGATTCTTCATGGTTGGTGATTGCAATGACCATAACAATGGTGCTTTTATTTGAACATGGCAGGCAATGTACAACGAATTCTCTGCTGCCAACATACAGATTGACAAAGATTTTAGTGCGAAGCTCTCTGGCTATGGTTGCGTCGGTCAGCTTCCTGACACAGAAATCCCAAGTAGTTCAGTGGTAAGCTACTAAGCTTATGCTGCTAGTGTTTCTTTAGTTGGTTCCAGTTCCTCTGCTAGCTCTGTGTTGATAAAGTACTTGCCATTTCTATCTCAATTTGATGCAGGCTGTGGGAAACCTCTCGGTGGAGACACTCGAAAGGGGTCTGCTAACTCCGAAGAGCAATGTGTGGAGCTTTGGTATCATTCTCCTCGAACTACTCACCGGACGGAAGAATCTCGACAGCCGACACCCAAGGGAAGAAAGGAACTTAGTCAAGTGGAGCAGACCTTTCTTATCTGACGATTGTAGGCTATCCATGATCATGGATCCTCAGCTAAAGCAGAGGTACCCCATGAAAGGAGCAAGAACTGTAGCAGGCATTGCCTTGAGATGCCTTCAGAAGGATCCACTCGAAAGGCCAACAATGAGAACTGTCGTGGAAAACATGAGGGCGATACAGGACATGAAATACTCGTGCCGCTTCCCACTTCAAGAACCGGATACGGTTCCTAATCGAAAGCCAATGTTGAAATCTCCGAGTTTCAATACAATCATTGCCACCCCAGCTCCAACAAGGTTGAGTTTCTCACTCTCGCCACCACCGTCGGGAGCTCATCATCCTCATCTTGCTGCTTCTCCAACTAGGGTTTCAGCGTTTTCGGGGTCACTCCCTCCACGAGCTTGCTCGTCAACCGTTTCATTGGACGAGCTGGAACGTGTTGAAAGTCGGAGATCATCGAGTTCTACTGTTCGGCGAGCTAGTGTAGAGGGGTTCTGATTTGTTAATATTATGTGGGGGGTTTGGGTTCGGCTCGTTGTCTCTTTGGTCCTAAATCCTTCTGAATGATTCAACAGGGAATGTTAGAGGACTTAAGGAAAGGTCAGGATGTGATGTGGTTATTCCCACCTTCCCGTTATTTGAAATGGTGGTGAAGAAATAGAAAGGGTGGCTGCTACTACTGTAAGCTAGCTCCCTCCTATTCTGTAGATAAGAAACAGTGCCGATTGACTTGTGGATGGATGTTAGTAATGCAATCTATAGTGGCTATTTAGTTTGGTTATTTCTGGGGAGTGACTGGCTTGGAATAGGGTGCAGTTCTTTGTATAACTACAGAAAAATTCATCTGAATAACTCAAATGACACTGGAACAAAAGACTAAGAGGTAAACAGATGGAACCTTTTATGCCATTTGAATCACTTGCTAGTGGGGCATTACTTCCTCTAACTATAATTCAATTTCATCAGTTAACTCAGCTTTGGAACTGAAACAAAGTTCTCTCTGAAATGGTACTGGACTAAACTCTTACCTTAGCGAAAAACGGTTTTCACTCGTCTTAGCCTGTTGCCTCTCCAACAAGAAAAGATGAGATGCCGAACACTTTTCGGCGATTTGAATTTCCCTGGAGCTAGCCAGAACCAAAACTCGTGGGTTGTTATTCCGGGCAAGCAGAGGAAGTAAATAGTATGGTGATATCATGAAATCCTGCAGAACTACAGCCCCAAAACAACCTAATATAAGAAGAAGAAAAGACAGACTGAAGACCAAAATTGCATCTCAGAAATCCTCTATTTCTACAACAAGCTGCTAAGTTTGGCACACTGTCAAGCCAAGGAAGAGGAATTAACGCCTCAGATAGTATACATCAGAAATCCCCCAACCCACCGAGGGGAGCAAAAGCCGGAATTAAAGACACCCCATTATATGTATTATAGACATTATACAACGAATAAAGACATTGCACACTGAAAAGCTCTCAGGAAAGAAACAGGAAACTAAAGGAATAATAGCAACACGGGGAACTGTCGCGTATTAGATAGTAGGAACAGAAACTGTTCTTACTCCTTAAATATACAACAACAAAAGAAAAGGGCAGCACAAAAAAAAATTCTGTGAATCGAGAGGGAACTCGCCACTGGGGACCCGTCGGTCAAGCAGGCTCTTTCCGGTTATCTTCTGTGCCATCAGGTTGGTGGTTGTTTACTTCTCCCTCGGTCTCTTGCTCATGAGCAGCTGAATCCAGCTGGCGATCCTCCTCTGGAAGTTGTTGCTCTTCACTGTCGCCGCTGCCACCTGGAGCAGCCGGCACATGAGACGTCGAACTCCCTTCTTGCTCAGTCGCCAAGCTCGCCAATCCATTCTGCTTCAGATAGGATTCCAATGGAAGGGTTGCTACTTGAATGAGGTTCAGCATTGTCGGTTGTTGGGAATCTTCTTCGCGTTCTGGATGGCAGTTCAAGTCTATCTGTCCCTTTCCATTCTCAACTGCCGGCAGTTTCTCAGCCAACTTGTTTTGAGTCAACTCGATCGCCATTCTCGCCGCTACATTCTCTGAAGGATGATGATCCATCTGTGACGTAGAAGCGGCCTTGGAGCTGCTTTCTGCCTCTGCCTCGTCTTTGTGCAAACCCCACTGCTGCTGCAGCTGATTCCGCTGAGCCATCTCTGCTTCGCGTTCGGATTGGCGCTTCTTCTTTCGCATCATTAGGGTCTTGAATCGACGCTTGACGGTCATGCATACGTTGCATGTGCATGTGGGCTTGTGCTTGCCTTTCCCGCTAGGGGGCTGGATGCAAACGATGCAAGAGCAGCCCGGGCGATGCCGGGGGTGCTTGGTTGTTGTTGCAACTGTAGCCGTGCCTTGCTCACCACCAATGTCTCCCAGGATTGCAGCATTGGCCAGAGCGTCAAGCCCAGAAGACTCGGGTTCCTGCGCCCCTCCCTGGCTGCTTGACAGTCTCCGTTTCTTGAAATCTGCTTAAGAAGTTGTAAGGCATGGCAATGTCAGACTATAGCAGACTAGACTATCGCTAAGGTGCATAAGTCAGAACGCACGTTGACTTTTATTTAAGAAAATAAAAGCAGATATATTCACAGAAGAACCAACATAATCGAGTTTAACACAAGGCAGCCTCAGTAGACACAAGGCTGTTATGTATATTTTTTCCTGCATCAAAACGTTTATGCATGGAGTTTCACCTGCTAGAACTGCTTATACTATTACAAAGGCTAACCAACCAATACAAAAAAATGGACACAGCACTACTATTTTTCTCTTTTGAAAGTCATTCAAACTCTTCAACAGATGCGGTATCTCATTGATACTCATAAATATGCATTTCATGATTTATGCACAAGCAATTCGATGGATTGGGACAAAACTGATGATAGAATGTGCCAATCCACCCACGGCTCAGGTGGGGGAAGGGAAGGGGAAATGGTGAAAGGAATATTTGCCGACATCAAATAATGTACCCTTATTATTTGTGAGTAGATTTTCTAATTCCCTTGGGGATAATTCATCTGGAGCAGAGCACGAAGACCTGATGAGGATAAGATCAAACATCAATATCAGAATAATGCCATGAAATTCGGTTGCAGGTGAAATCTCAAGCAAATGATATTGTAAATAGAAGACATAGTTTACTGACCTGCTTTGATCCCAATCGTTTTCTCTGCATGTCCACTTCGGTGGAAGAAGCACATCAACTGGCAACTTTCTCCACTTGAAACAGCTATCACACTGAGCCCATTGCTCTTGTATTCTGGTGAGTGATTCAAAGGAAATAAAGATCCATGGAAACTCAGAAATTGTACATCAGAAGAAATTGTTTTTTAATTGAGTAAACATACGAGCCTAGGGCACTAGAGATTATCTTGAGTGATGCTGATATCTTCCCATGGTAAGTAACTATCCATCTAATCCCAGTATATTCCATCCACGTAATAAACAGAAAAGGTATAAAGAAAATTCTCTACTTATTGGAATTTGCCTACAAGTTTACTTGTCAAGTAAGGGTAAGATGGGAATTTATAAAGTAACTATGCCGAGGTTAATTGCAGGTTGGTCATTTGTAATCCCAATAGATGAGTCCATAACCTTTCTGGCTACAAGTTTACTAATCAACAGCAGGAAAAGAGTAATCACGCACTATCAATTCACATACCCGGTTGAGCGGGCAACAAATATACTTCTCTTCCCGAAAACAGGAGGCTCCTACAAGGAAAGAAACTCTGTTAGAAAACCAAATCTTCTTAAGTGAAAAGACAAACAGCTTATAGTTACTGCTAAAAAAGTTTGCCCTGCATATGGGCAGCATAAAGCACCAAATTTAATATGAAAAATCCTTCGGAAATTTCCGGAGTCAGAATCAACAGATCTGGCTTGTGCTATTTATGTACAAATACAATGGATGATGGATCTCACAGGTAAATTCAACAAATGAGCACATAGCGACATACATATGAAACGTCATTGCCAAGTTAGTTACTCACTTCATATTCTTCAAAATCATGATCCTCAATAGTGACAATGTTTGGTTTAGCAGTGGGCGGTGGGCGGAGCAAATCTTGAGCTTCTTCCCAGGTGAGCTTCAGCTCCAAAGCATCTTGGTTGTCCATTAGTAGCCTTTTACTTTTGGATCCAAGATTCCTTGCCCTTTTTCTCTCGGGGATCAGTATTGATGGCAGCATCAACCCTTCCTGAGTCCTGTCGTCCAGCTTCTCAGATTTATGCCAACTAATATCACCACTAGTTGACTGCAAATGTTTTGACAGTGCACTTAAGTGCGCATCATTGCTTCCCTTCAGAGACTGAAGAATGCCACAGTAACCACTTGTTACACGTAGGTTCTCATAAACACCGGAAAAGCAACTTTCACTTGAATGAACACCATTAGGAATGGCAGATGGTTGAATGTCCTGTTTATTTCATATTTATATATATATATAAATATTACGCGAGAAAAGTCAGCTGACATCATAACTACAGTTGACTTCTTACCTGCATTGCAATTGAATTTGATGCTTTCCTAAATCCCATAACAAGTTTTCCCTCTGGATCCATGCGACTGAATGTTACTGCAACATGAAAAGATAATTTACATAGTTTCCAGAAACGCAAACCTAATATACTTATACATCCACTAAACAGGAAAAACAACTAGAACAAGTCTGAAATAGTCTAAACTGCAGCTAAAACACTGGGACATCCTTTTCGAACAAATCCTTCCTAATCTACGAAGGTGTAGCTAAATATGAAAATAAAAGAAGCCCATGCATTACTGAAAATTATTCTTGAGAGGGTTGCAGATGCAGTAAACAGTCTATCAGAAAGAGGACCCCAATGCACAAGCTTAAACGATAAATTCACAAGGAAAGTAAGTAAATCTTCATACATTGGAACTGAATTTTAGCACAACTTTGAGTAGGGACCAGGGCTTAAAAATATACCGGTATCTCCAGCTTGCAACTGCATGGACTGTATGCAAGGGGTTACACCTTCCAAAACATACATCCTGCTATTATTATTCGGCCAAAATCTGAACTGAAACACCCACTCTTTCCCCTTCACATCTTGAATCCTAAGCGGAATGCCCTCTGGTTGAGAGATAGGTGGAAAATAAGCCTGGATAATGGTTGAAATTGAACTATTAGCTGCCATAAAACATGAGAAACACTTCCAAGATAAGAAGGTATATCCAAATGGGTACGACAAGAACATGATGAGCTTACTTCAGCACAAGCCTTAGGGAGAACCAAACGGCCTATACGACCAGCATCACTTGCACTGAGAACCTTTTCAAACAGCGGAACAATGGTGGAATTCGAACTTGAAATGGTTAAGGACATCAACAAACAAGTCAGCAGATATGCTTCGCAAAAAGCCAATGTATGCTAAGAGTTTCCGCCCAAATAAATGTGTTGTTAGTGAGCAAAGAAATAATAGTCATACTACACTTAGTAAGGATACTCCATGGAGATTTGCTGAAGTTCTTGGTCAGTGATCCTAGGCCAATAACGAGGTAGCAACTGATTTCTTCCCCGTCCTTCAGCAGGTGGTCGAGCAACACGTATTGGCGAAGACATAGCATTTGGCTCCAAACCAGTAACAAGATTTGACTTCGGAGGCTTGGGTAATAGATGGCGAGACCTTGACGCCTGAAGGGGAGGTGTCTTACTTTGAGACCTTTCATCAACAACAGTTGCAAAGGGATTTGGATTCGCCATTGGAGAACCAAGTGCAATACTCAAGTTTGTATGTGCTAGTGACTCATACAAATCCTTTGCCCCAATGCTTGCTTTACCAATCTCTGCATTGCTAGCTTGAGAAAATGCGTTGGATGCTTGGTTAAAATGTGAAAAGCTTGTGCTTCCCATTTCACCCATATGAGGCACAAGAGCTTCCGGTTTCATTTGTCTATAAGAACCATTGGTGTCCTCACCGTGCAACTGAAGCAAATGTCTTGCACCAATACTTTCAGTGTTACTGCCTAAGTGCAAGAGCTTTCTTTCAACGTCCACCCCATTCTCAGCTGAGAGTGATTGTAATTCGCCAATGTCATCAATTCTTGATTTGGAAAACCCATTAGGTCTTTTGTCAGCCCCAACCTGCGTATATAGCTTTGAGGTTACTAAGAATTGCAAGAATCCAGAAGCTTAACCAAGCCAGAGATCTGACAATAGTGTGGAAAGTGTCTAATAAGCATATAAATAGACCAATCAACTAAGCAGGATGAAAGAAATCGCTGCATTAGCATCCTAAGACACAAAGAAACGACTAACAAGAATTGTTAAAGAAAAAGACTTCAGTGGATGTTTAATTGAAGGAGACCCATCTCCAACCATACTACAGAAATAGGATCACACTACATCAAACTTCCTATCTGTTGGACATGAAGGTAGCCTATATATCTATAGAGACAACTTGATTGGAGTGACAACCAATTCAGTCCCTAAAGTTTATTCAGAACGTCTGGTGTGCTAGTGTATGGACAAACACATGTATTTGGACTGAAGCTATCCTAAGATCAAAAAATTCACAGACAAAAGCACCGGCTAACAGATAATGCAATACAAATACAGAAGCTCAGACAATAAATCTGCATATTTAGAAATATATCGTTAGCAGAACAAATCTTACATGATTCACTCCTGAAGCTCTAGAACAGTTTATGCAGTTAATGCCACCCCCATCTAGGAGCTCAAGCAGAAGCCTGGAAGCAACACACCCACAGTGGAGACGCTGCAAATTGAAATTCCAAGAAAATGGGGATAAGAAATCAAAACCGAACCCACGATCCTTGCAAACTGGAGAAACATAAACACTTGATGATCATTGATTCTGCGTCCATAGGCTCACCTTGCCACATGAAGTGCATTCCCTCCAGCCAGAATCCTTAGCATGAAATACTTCACAAAAGATTGTCTGCTCGTATGCCAACCTATAGGTAAGATGAACCCATATCAACAGAGATACTTGAATTTGAATGTATATATCCTGCTCTCCCACAGCTAGCTACAGTAAGCATTTAGCATACGTCCACGATTGGGAATAATAATTTACCGGCGGAGCCAATGTGCAACTTTGGCTATGATATTAGCATTGCCAAGCTAGCATTAAAGTGTTGGACATGAGAGGCAATACAGTAAGGGAATGGAACCTTGAGAAGCGGAGGTCATCACGAGAAAACTAGATTGTCCAGTTGGATCCAACCACTTTAAGGCACTTAGTAGTTGGGCACGAATTCTTCGCCGAAGCCTGATTTCTCGATGAAATCAAAGGGAATTGAATCGTATAGGCCGAAGGACGACCCAAAATAATAATGCCACAATGAAACACTCCACAACGAAGCACCAAAAATAGAAGAAGAGAAAGGGGGAAAATCCATAACCGTTCAAAAATCGAACAGAAGGAAGAAGAAAAAAAAGAACTCAAGGAATGGACGGTGCGATGACGAAGAATCTCAAACCAGAGTATACAGAGGAATCCCAATGAGTGAATAACGCAAATCGAATTCCATGCCAGTACCGCTACAAATTAGGTCGTTTACTTTGCCCCCATTGCAGAATATAATAAGCGGAGGAGAAGGTAAGACGCAGAAATTATACCCGCACTTATCGCAGAGATTGGCGAATTCACCAGATCGCAGCCCCCAACCTTTTCTCCAATGGCTCGACGTGGATGCGCCGCATAATGCATTCATGCACGCCTTGGACGCCATGTTTGAATCTATTCTTCGCTGGAAGAAGTCCCACGACCAACAAATTCAAATTCAAATCTTACTGAGAGCAAACAAAGAGAGACCAAGAAACAAAATCCCTAATAAAATCACACTCCACACAAATCGATTCAACTCCAAATCTACAGAGGTCAAACGAGCACAAGACCAAAAAAAAAATACTAAAGAGTAAAAAGAAAAAATCAAAGAACTGACGCCGACCGACCTTCTCCGTTCCCAATAGGCAAAACCGCTATAGCTACTTGAGCTGTACTCTGGCAAGGGAGGCGGCGTGGTTGCGATTTCCGCAGAGCCGATTTGGATATACGACCTGGAGATAGTTCGAGGTCCAATGGCGGCGAATAGGCGAGGAATCGAAGGTGGTCAGGGGGCGAGATCAGGAGAGAAGGCTGGCAGGGGAGAGGAATCGGCGATCGAGTTGGGAGAAGACAACATGTGCATGCAGAGTAACGGCTTGGCAGAGAAACGAAAGAGAGAAGAAGGCAAGAGGAAAGAAGAGAGGAGGAAAAGACAGAGAGAGAGAGAGAGAGAAGAGAAGGGGGAAGAGAGGGTGTTTGGTTGGTACTAATCTTAAAATATGCATGCACGATGATACTTCAAGACACGGCGAGCTCCCCACCCCTCCTCCCTCTTTCTTTTCCCCTACTTACCCCTCTCCGACTTCGCGTTTCCGTTTCGGTCCTTTATTTTCCCCAAATTTCGATAAATGGCTTCCAAACGCGCGCGTCAGTCACTCGCTCCCTTATCGCAGCGGGACGGGGGCGAGTTTGGGGTGGAGGGGCCGAGGGGTGCGCGTGGGAGGCGGTGTGATGATGGGATGGAGGATAAATAAGGAGAGGGGGTGGGAGGTTATTAGAAATACGGCGGCAGAGGACAAGAGCTCCAAGTGCGCCACTAGGCGCTTTGTTATCCAAACGCACATTTCGCATGCAATAAGTGTAGGCTGGGGGACGGTGTGAAATGACCAAAAGGTTATCCGTGGGAGAGGGTCATTTACGTCCTTTTGCAAGTTATTAATGCTGTCCCACGCCGTCCAACTGAAAATTTTGGCAGCTGGTGAAGTTGGAGGGGGTGATGTTTATGACGATTTAATTTAATATATATATTTAATTAAATACGATGCAGGTATAGCTCCTCATAAAAAAAAATCTACTCTTCTTGAGAATTGTATTATTGTTGTGGTATTAACCTACGATTCGGGTAAAAAAACCACTACATTCATGTGCTTGATCTAACTAATTAACCAAGCCAACCAGCTGGACTTAGGGATGGCAATGGATCGGGTCGGGGGCGGATAGTGCATATCCGTTACCCTGCCCAATGTAGTTCGGGTTTTACCCATACCCGTACCCATACGAGAAACGGGTAGAAAATTAAAACCATGCCCATACCCGTTCGGGTTTCGGGTATCCACGGTTATCCATGGGTAATAATTTCTCCTTATAATTCCAACCAATATGTTAACATTCACACGTATACTCACATTACGTAAGAGGAAAAATACGACATTAATTCACTAGAATGACGAAAATTAATTAAAACAACATAATTTCATGAAAATATTATATTTATATGCTAAATATAAAATAATCTAGAGAAAAATAATGATTATTTCTAGACAAAATACATATGCATGTGTATAATCGGGCGGGTTCGGGTTGGATATTGAGATAACCATACCCACCCATTACCCGCAATATTCAGGTTCGAGTTTTACCCGTACCCAGTGGCGGACCCAGGATTCTTAGAGAGGTGGTTCAATATAATAAAATTAAAAAATAAAAATAATTCATAAATTATAAAAGTTCTAATTTCTTACAATGAGCCACGACGGCTTTCCATACTCTGAAAGTACACCAATGGCCAAGTAGTATCCTTTCCTGTCTCCACCATTCGCCTAGCTAGCTCATCGATTCCTCGCAGTCCCTTGAAGGTCTCATCTTGCTTGACATGATAAATGTAGCCGCTTACTTTGCCGGCGGTGTGAGAAGAGAAAGGAAGAGGGATTGTCCTGTGCATGTGAGAGAGTTTTTGGTTTCATTTATAAATTGTAATCGAGATAGGTATAGGGTTTCTTTTATAAGGATATTAGTTCTATTACAATCAAAATTGGAATTGGGTGGAGGATTCAATAAACTTTCCGTATAAGGAAATTATTTACACATTAATAAATTTCTGTATACAATACGTTCTTTAGCAAAGTTATAACAATAATATGTTCCTAATCTGATGGAATGATTATGAGTCTACTATAGAGCTGTGTCAAGAGGTCTTGTGTTCGAATTTTAGTACTGACGAACCTTACTTTTTTATCTATATTTTTTTTGGAGGTGTGTCAATTGACACACCACCCTATAACATAGGTCCGCCCCTGCCCGTACCCACGAAAAATACTTCGGGTTCGGGTTTTACCCTACCCGATTAGGTCGGATTCGGGTGGATATCCACGGTTACGGATATTTTTGCCATCCCTAGCTGGACTCACTCCCGAGTAAACCCAACGGGTTCAGTGAGACTCAGAACTCCGAACTGCCCCTGACAACCTGCTACTAATATATTTTGGGTCACAATGGAATCTCACAAGTCAAATGTACCAAACACTTGAGAATTTTCGAAAATAAATGAGGCAGGCAAAAACTAATTCGTATAAATGCAATGAACTGTATTTGACCGCATAATTCGTATGGAAATTTTCTTTTCCTTTTTAATGTAAAACCCTGGTACGGCATCCAGACCGTTCATGCATGTGTTATATATTGCAATTGCACTGCTCATTTCTATTTGAGAGAGATATCATATTATTACTTTCATTGTCCAATTACACTAATTAGCTGTTTTGGATTAATTCGAACATCGGGCGATTATAGAGGTAAATAGGTGCCAAAAGAGCTAATGTAAGGTGACCACCAATAATGGAGTGGCTAGCTAAGCTATTACTACGTATAGTACACTGTGGCCACCACATGATGGATAAAATAAAACCCTCTTGGTATATTATGTGGACAGCTGGACTAGTGCACAAATTAAAAAGATAGCTGTACATAACAAAGTGAATAATTAACACTGTCGTACTTGTATATCCAACTCTGTACCTAGTCAGTCCCATCAAGGGTTGATTCATTTGCTTCCACAAATCCCTTCTTCACTTCACCATGACCATGCGGTGAAGAAATTGAGCAGCAGCATGGTAGTGATTAATGTTGGTTTTGACCGCTAATTAGGAGTGTTAATTACGTGGCATTTATTCTTCATTATAGCATAGCGTGTGTGGCGAATATATATATGTGGTTGGGATATACGCTACATTGAACTCCAAATAATGATTAAACCCGCCCGGTCCTTGTTTGCCTGCACATTAGGCTACGTTTACCAAGTTGCATTCAATCTTTATATTAATTAATGTCCTCGCGCTCTCTCTGCCTGCCACGTTTCCTTCCAGACGTCCCTCTCCACACAATGGAAAATATCACCCCCCACCCTAATTTCTCACTAAGCCTGCATTATTGTTATAATTTAAGTGTTTTTTTGTTTTTGTTTCTGAAACCCCAATAATATAATTACAGTAGTTAAGGTTAAAAAGAAGAACATGCTGCTTGCCGCTTAGTCAAATATTATTATTAGAGGCTAAATTATATATCATTAACTTCCAAAACCAAGAACTAATTACGACTCGTGATCTCTGGCTCTCCAACCCAATAAATTAAAATGGCTGATACTCGGAGGGCCGGTCCGCCGTATACTGGTATTCCGTCTCCGTCCCTCCCGAGTCCCGTCCCGTTCCGTTCCGGTCCGGTGTTACTAGTAACGGACGTGAACTAGGGTTATGTGACGTGAGATTGGGCGGGGGATGATGCCAGGTGACCTAGGAGTGCGGTCCTACCAACAACAACAACAACTACAGTGAAAAGAGGAAGAGAGAGAGAGAGAAAGAAACAAACGCTACATAAATACGTGCCCCCACGCGCTCTGGTGACTAATACGTCACGACACGGCGACTGACAAACGGCATGGGAAGGAGGCTGGCCTCCACGCTTTCTCCAACGCGCGCCTCTCAAGTCTCAAATCATCGCACCCCGAGCCCAGCCGACCTCACCCCTTCCCTCTCCTCATTGATTATTCTTTGCCACCGGTGGGGTCTCTTTTCTCCTTTCCCTGGTCTAGTTTTAGCTGAGCTGAGCTTGTAATTGAAAGAAAATTAAAATATCGAAGGGTCAACGAGAAGCCATATTCATCGTCTCGGCTATCAAACACAACTCCAACTCAATGGTATTTATAAAATCGTATCGTAATTTAAATTGATGGGCACTTTTAGTATTATAGTCGAACTTCAATTAAATCATAATTTCGCTTGAAAATATCGTACCACTGATTTTCAAAAACAATTCCCGTTACGATTTTACAATCCTTAAATACATATCTAATGCTTCACTAGTGCACTCGTGATTCATGAGGATCCAGGGATGGAGAAGCAAGCTAGCAAACAGATTAGTAGTTTAGATTAGATTAGATTAGATATAAGCAACTACATATATATGTGCAATAGTTGTTGTTGGCAAGGCCTGGCTGGGGAGTGGTTGGAAGGGGGAATGTTTTTGGCACAACTACTCGTGATTATCATTATTATTTTAAGATAATAATGAGGTTAGTCGTTAGCACTATGGTTTTGTCGTTGATTATGGCTGTTTGTTTCGAATGTACGTAAGTAGTGCGGCCAGGGTATCCCTTTCCCTTCTATAGCACATAATATCCTTCCATCCTTCTCTCATTATTTTATTTGAATTTTGATGAGCTCATAGTATTGTTTTTCACGCATGTCAATGATAACGCGATGCATTGTCATCCAGTTAAGTTAAGCAGCTCTGCCCAATCTGCCCTTTTTGGTCCCAACAAATATCACCATTCTAACCAGTTCCTTCCCCAGGGCTGTCCAGTCCACATATTATTCTTGATATACAGTACTATAATCTGAGATTGAATGAGAGGTTTGTTGGGCGAACTTCAATTGAAAATGAACATACAAACAAACAATTCGGTTTTAAAGTGGCATTTCTGGAATGCAAGGATGAATTCCCGAAAGAGTGGGAATGAGTATATATACAAGTTGAATCATATGGATGATTAGCAGTTATAAATGGTTATGTTGTTAACGATCTAACCGTAAATCACATCGCTAATCTGGAAGGAGAACGTGGGACTTTTAAGAAAGTTCAAACTCCCTTATCGGTTTATCCCGTAATAAACTATTAATTAGGGGGTGGCTATACGGTTCGGTCCGGTTAAATTGGACCAAATTGATCCGGTCCCAGTCCGGTCTTTTCGGGAATGTAAGGACCAAAGATTGGATTGGATACAGTCCGGTCTTGACCCGGTCCGGTCCCAATTTGATCTTGATTTTAGATTGAGCTTGTGGGAATTTGAGTGTTGGGGTCTTTATCCGTTTTTTTTTACCTCAAATCTAAGCCCGAATATAAGATTGGATTGTTTGCTATCCGGTCCCGGTCCGGGTATACGGTCAAGTTTCGGGTAAAACCAAACAGTCCGGACCAAATAGCCAGCCCTACTATTAATAACCGATGGTTAGTGTTTACACCAAAAATTAACCTTGTACCACATCGGTTAAAAACAAGGAATTAAATGGGTTTATAAGGCCAACTTAATCATATCAGTTTAAATGAGTTGAGTGGGCCATGCGGATTTGGTTTTTGGGCCCATTACTCCGTGCCACCACGCGCGCCATGCATCTCCAAATTTGGCTAAGTATGGGAGCCACCCCCATGACATGCAGAGGGGGTGGCCATCATATCTCCACCCCCAGGAGGTACCAAGGGGGGTGGCCACCATCATACCACCCCCAGGGCGTGGCAAGGGGGGTGGACATCATACCGCGGAGTCAACCCCATGACATGGCAAGGGGGTGGGCATCATATTGTCACCCCCAGGACGTAGTGAGGGGGCCATATTACCACCCCCCATGGAGTGTTCATGGAGTAGCGTGGGATCACCATAAGTATGGCGAGGCAAGGAGGCACCATGATATGACACGAGGGTGATCACCAAAGATGGCAATGAGAACCCCCCATGAGATGATCAGGGGGTGGCCATCAACACATCCCGCCATGAGCATGCAATCCCCATGATATGATCACCAAGGATGGCAAGGAGAACCCCCATGAGATGATCAAGGGGTGGCCATCAACACACCCCGCCATTAGCATGCAATCCACATGATATGATCAGGGCGGTGATTAATATCCACCCCCTGTGGTATGGTCAGGGGGTCACCAACTTACGCCCTCATGGTATGGACAAGGGGCGTGGTCAACATCGCCCCCATGAGGTTGCCAGGTGGGCTACCAAGACACCACCCTCATGAGGTAGTCAAGGGGGGTCATCTGAGCACGTGGTCTCCCTACTCTCGTAATGGTGAAGTATTTTTGCCATTTTGACTCAGGTGGTTCGAGTACCCACCCATATGTGGCATGTGGTCTGCTTTCATGCCTTAGCCATTTTTACTCTATGGATAAGCAAAACTACAAAGGAGATGCCAATAGCAGAGGTTGAGGTCTCAAGAGGAGGTAGTCAAGACTGAAGAGGATCCCACATCCAACATCAGGGTAACCGTCATAGCAGTTGAGTGAGTAACCGTCACTCCACGTCAGCAGAGCAGTTTCTTGGGGCAGTTACTTCTGGTGACTATAAATAGGAGGTGAAGATGACAGAGAAAGGGTTCGCAAAAATCACAACTCGACACCACTTGTCAAGTTTTATCTTTTTATCTTTTCCTCTGCAGATTTTAGCCATAGTCGTAGTTTTTGGAGCTCTCACTGAACCTCCATAGGAGTAGTGCTAATTTAATGTAGATTTGCCTCGTAGTTCATCTAAACATTGAACACCCTTGTTTGAACTTTGTTCAAAGAGGTGTGGACCGTGTTTGTTAATCGTTTGTTTGGAAGTAAAAAAGGTGCAAAAATCCAATTCTCTTTCCTTTATTTTTCTCGCCGGGAAAACAAATTGGCACACCTGGTGGGACACGTGTGTTCGATTTGATGGCTCCGAGGCGGAGGAATCAAGAAGGTGACGCTCAGGCTGGTTTTGTGGAGGAGCAGGTGGCCAACATTGAACATGGCCAAGTGTCAGAGTCGGTGGCCGGAAACAATGGTGGGGCGGAGATCCTACCAACGGCGACGCCAAGTGGAGATATTGGCGAAGCAGTGGGGGTCCTTCGTCAAATGATGGAGGAAAACCGCAAACTGGTGGCAGAGAACCGTCAAGCCACAGAGGAGAACCGCCAAATGATGGTGGAGAACCGCCGCATGATGGAGGAGGCTAGAGCTGCTTCTCATCAGGTAAATTCTCAAATGGACTGTCTTAATTCTAGAGTTGATAGACGTCTAAGTCAATTATTTGAAGTGGTTAATAAGAACAAAAGTGATTTTGATGAGTTTAGAAGATTTTTAACTACACTAATAATCCAATCTAGAGCTCTGTCATTATATGGTGGGAATTCAAACCCCAATAGCAATTTCGGAAATTTAAGTTCATCTCCCGCCGGCGGCGGAAATGGTCAGCCACGGCAAGATAACCTCTTTCCGCCGATGACAAACCAACCAACTCCTCACCGCATGAATCGCGGCGAGATTCCTGCCACTACTCAAGTGGAAGGGATACCCAATGTGGGAGTTGGAGAAATTCCCCCACGTCGTGAAAATTTGGGAGTTACACATTCTGCTCCAGTGGAACCGCCACCCATACCCATACCAATGGCAAGGCCCTATACGGTGCCTGCTCACATGGGAGGGGGAGTAGGCTTAGGTGGGGGGGGGGGGATCAAGTTCCTCCGAGAGCATACCCAACACCCATGCCACCCCATTTCAATGGGCATGACATGGACCCCATGGGTTTCGTACCCCAAGGGGGGCAACCAGGGGGGCATGATCCCAACACTCTAAGGGATCAGGTGGCTCAACTTCTTGCCGAGCAATTTGGCATGGGAGTGAGACCCACCATGCCACCTGTTTATCGAAAACCATACCCTGAGTGGGTGGATAGACTCTACCCATTCCCAAGTGGGTTTAGGGTGCCCGAGTTTGCCACATTCACTGGGACAGGGGACCAGTCTACTGTGGAGCACATTGGACATTTTACTGTCCAGTGTGGGGATGTGGGAGATTTTATTAAGTTAAGAGTATTTGGAAACTCATTGACAGGACCTGCTTTTGCCTGGTATGTCAATTTGCCATCCAACTCCATCCAAACATGGCAGCAGATGGAGCAAATCTTCCATGCCCAGTTCTATAGATCTGAGCGTGAGGTTTCCATGACTGATTTGGCACGAATGCGCCAAGAGCCAGGGGAGTCGGTAGAGCACTTCTTGACAAACTTTAAGAATGCTCGTAACCGTTGTTTTGTCAACTTGACAGAGAGAGAGTTTGTCAAGTTAGCACAAGGGGGGTTGAGTTTTGAGTTAAGGAAGAAATTCCAAGATAGAGAATTCTCTGACTTGTTCCAACTCATGTCTTGTGCGGTGAGATATTAATCTCTTCTTCAAGAAGAGGAGAATAGGAGGAGTGCCTCAAGGGGGCAATACTTCCCCAACATCGGCTACCCTATTAACCATATTGGCCAAGAGGCCAATGAAGTGGAGGTAGACCTGGCTGAGTTAACTCCAGGGAAACCATATGTATGTGCTCCTTTGGCTAAGATGGACAACGAACCACAAGGGGGTAGACCAAATCGTGCCCCTATCCAGCCACGGAGGTATTCCTTCGATATCTCCAAAGCTGACTTGATTTTCGACCAACTCTACAAGGATGGTCAAATCAAGTTGACAAGGGGGCATAACATCCCACCACCCGAGAAATTAAAAGGAAAGAAGTATTGTAAGTGGCATAACAGCATGTCACATGCCACTGACTCATGTGTGGTTTTCCGTAATATCTTGCAGGATGCTATTGAGAAGGGGCGTATCAAGTTCCCGGAACCCAAGAAGGATGCCATGTTGGTGGATACTGATCCATTTCCCAACGTGGTAGGCATCAACATGGTTAACCCGGATCTCTCCAAAATTGAGTTACCCCGTTTTAAGTTGGTGTTGGATACAATGCCGCCTCAACATGGGAGCTCAAATGCAACTCAGGAACAAGGGAGCTCGTCAGGTACAAAGCAGGCTAGCCCGACCGCAATGATGACGGATGAAATTGAGAAGTTGTGTGCTCATGCAAGAAGAGCCTCAAACTTGATGAGGCGAGGCCTTCCGCCCACCAAAGACTTGGCCCACCCAACAGGCCGAGATACCCTTCTTATCAAAGACAAGTGGAGGGGGTCATCCAGCCGGCTTGGGGACAACGAAGGCAGTGGATAGCACATGGCATTCCTTCCGTGCGAAGTCCTCCCGTTAGGGGTCCTCCCGTGATGAGAACTTTTAAGATTCCCAATGTGCCACGAGGAGGGTGGCATACTTATGATATGCATAGTCAACCAGTAGCTATTGGGGGGATGACAAGGACTCAAAGGAGGAGATTCCTACGTAAGAATGCTAAAGCACGAAAGGGGCAATACCCAGTAGTACCTGGTGAGATAGTGGGGCCATCACAACAAAATGAGGATGGTCATGCTACTATTGAGGTGGACAACTCTATGGCCACGGGTCCCAAAGTAATAGTGTCTGACAAGGGCACGCATGTCCAAGTCCAAAGTGATGGTAAGGGTCAGAAGGGAAAAAATGGTGAAGGTGGTGATTCAAAGCCAGCTTGTGAAGAATCATCTCCTTTGAACAACCATGGAAAAATGGTGTATGGTTGGCTGGTTTGGATTAATACATGGACTTGGCAGTGGGTGTATACCTTTGGCACATTGGTTATTGCCAAAGGGTATGGAGATCAATGATACTTGTAACTACTTATTATATGCAATAAAAAAAAAGAAAAAATAGTTAATATAGAAAAGCCAATCATGGCTATATATATATATATATATATATATATATATATATATATATATATATATATATATTTAAAATGCTAAAGTGGCAAGTTTCAGAAGAAGTTAGTAGGTTTTGATGTGAGAATCTTGCCACGACTGGTAAGCCTCAATCATTACTCGTATTGTCAGGCCATTAAGGTGGCCTAACGATGCCAAACTTTAAAATTTTGAAAGGTGTGAACCATGTACCCCATGGCAAGACATGGAGGTGATGGTGAATGGCATGGAGTATGATTAGTAGTAGTTTGGATTAACTAGGGGCGCATGATGTGTTCTAGCCCAATAACTTCAAAAGATACCACGCCGTGTGATTTAAGAGTGACCATAAGTGTTGGTGGTCACAATGGCATGGGGGGCACGTTTGTGTCGAGATGGAAGGACTATGGAATAATTATGTTTGACTCCCTTCCTTCCTCCCACACGGCAGCAAAGGAGAAGAAATTGGGATTGTTTTGGTCATTTAAATCGTAAGGCCAAGTATTTGAGTTTAATAGCCTAGTTGGTGTGAAACTACTTAGTCCATAATTCTTATGCACTAAGTAGTTGGGGGGCAATTGTTTACACCAAAAATTAACCTTGTACCACATCGGTTAAAAACAAGGAATTAAATGGCTTTATAAGGCCAACTTAATCATATCAGTTTAAATCAGTTGAGTGGGCCATGAGGATTTGGTTTTTGGGCCCATTACTCCGTGCCACCACGCGCGCCATGCATCTCAAAATTTGGCTAAGTATGGGAGCCACCCCCATGACATGCAGAGGGGGTGGCCATCATATCTCCACCCCCAGGAGGTACCAAGGGGGTGACCATCATATCTCCACCCCCAGGAGGTACCAAGGGGGGTGGCCACCATCATACCACCCCCAGGACGTGGCAAGGGGGGTGGACATCATAAGTATGGTGAGGCAAGGAGGCACCATGATATGACACGAGGGTGATCACCAAAGATGGCAAGGAGAACCCCCCATGAGATGATCACCAAGGATGGCAAGGAGAACCCCCATGAGATGATCAAGGGGTGGCCATCAACACACCCCGCCATTAGCATGCAATCCCCATGATATGATCAGGGCGGTGATTAATATCCACCCCCTGTGGTATGGTCAGGGGATCACCAACTTACGCCCTCATGGTATGGACAAGGGGCGTGGTCAATGGGCTACCAAGACACCACCCTCATGAGGTAGTCAAGGGGGGTCATCTGAGCACGTGGTCTCCCTACTCTCATAATGGTGAAGTATTTTTGCCATTTTGACTCAGGTGGTTCGAGTACCCACCCATATGTGGCATGTGGTCTGCTTTCATGCCTTAGCCATTTTTACTCTATGGATAAGCAAAACTACAAAGGAGATGCCAAGAGCAGAGGTTGAGGTCTCAAGAGGAGGTAGTCAAGACTGAAGAGGATCCCACATCCAAAATCAGGGTAATCGTCATAGCAGTTGAGTGGGTAACCGTCACTCCACGTCAGCAGAGCAGTTTCTTGGGGCAGTTACTTCTGGTGGCTATAAATAGGAGGTGAAGATGACAGAGAAATGGTTCGCAAAAATCACAACTCGACACCACTTGTCAAGTTTTATCTTTTCCTCTGCAGATTTTAGCCATAGTCGTAGTTTTTGGAGCTCTCACTGAACCTCCATAGGAGTAGGGCTAATTTAATGTAGATTTGCCTCGTAGTTCATCAAAACAATTGAACACCCTTGTTTGAACTTTGTTCAAAGAGGTGTGAACTGTGTTGTTGGATCGTTTGTTTGGAAGTCAAAGGTGCAAAATCCAATTCTCTTTCCTTTATTTTTCTCGCCGGGAAAACCGTTAGTGATTAAAACAATTAATAATCGATAATGATTGGTGACAATTCAAAATAGGCAAAATGCCACACTCAACGAGGGAAACAACTTCCTCCTGACCACTCTACACTCACTAACTCCAATCCCCTCGTCTTCTATGCTTAGTCGGAGAATGGAGGACGCTCAAAGAAGTTGTTATGCTAACCACGAATTGGTTGATGATATGCTAAGGATCCTCTCTGGTGCCTTCACCATCAAATCGCCTGGCAGATGATCGAGAGAGAGAAGCAACGATGGTCGACATCGATGTTCTCGCCGCCCTCAATCCTCCTCTTCTACTTTACTTGGACAGAGAAGATAAGATAAGAGGTGGCGGCTAGGTTCGACTGCTCGAGAGTGAAGGAGAGAGGTAAGAATATGAGAGTGTGTGGCTCGGATTTTCCATGTCCATCACTTTACTTTTGTATATTCTCTAAAAAGACAACTACGCCCCTTCTATTTTTTGAAATCCATGAATACCACCATTCTCTCTTTCAGACAGGTAGACGGCTAACCATTAAAATAATTGCATCGACGGTTAACGGTTTATCGCTAAGCCTTGCCTGGTCGACTGAAAGTAAAGATTTTTTGGTTGGCAGGTAACAGCTAACTGAACCGACTATCACCCCTATGAATGACATTCTACAGCAACAACCAATTCGTGCATGAACCAAATAATTATGGGCTAATGTGCTAGATAATAATATCTGCGTACATGTGGGCTATACTAATTTATACATAAACTTATACAAAAACTTATTGTCTAACAACCTCCACCAAATTAATGCATATCACAAAGCATCAATTTTGCGTAATAAATACCAATGGAACTTCCGGAGAAGGCTTTAATGAGAAGATTGACAACATGTTCCTCGATTCGAATATAGTGAACAATAATAATACCATTTTGAACTAAATCAAGAATTTAGTGTACATGTCTCTCGAGGTGTTTAGTATTACTATGCAACACATGATTGACAATAATGCAAATGAGCTAATGTTTTCCACCAAAAGTTCCATAGGAACTTGACAAATCATACCCAAAAACCAGTCAGAAGATGATTGATGACTTGATATATACACATGTTTTTGCCCACCATTCTTACACCGTTTGAGTCTTATCTCTCGTGTTTTAGGCCGATTT